TTGCTTTTACCACAGCATGATTCTTCTTCTGCCGTATCACACTGTGACCTCCTTAAAATATGGGAGATAGATTTTTCCAGGTAGGTTGTAAGGTCAGAGCGTTGTATGTTAAGGAAAGTTAAGTAATAAAAATACTTTTGCATATATGGGTCATTTTCTTCCTTCTTTGACCATTTTGTAATGTAGTCCTAATTGTGATATTGTTGGGTCAGTCAAAGAGAATGTTTGCATGTTTAGTAAATTTGGGGAGCATAGTTCTAAATTGCTTTCATGAATGTTTGGACCAATTCCCGGCTCCACCACAGTGCATTAATATACCTGTTTTCCCACAGACTTTCCAACATTTGGCATTACCTTTTTTTTTTTGGTCAACTTTGGCTGCCTAATGGATATGAAATGGAACTTTAGTTGCTTTAATTTTTTTTTAACATTTTTTGTGGGTTTTTGTTTGTTTGTTTTTTTAGGTGGGGGAAACAAGAGTGTGTTTGTAGGCAACCAGTAAGAAGCCAGTAAATAGGTAGAGACTCCATAATCAGTTTCCTGTAGCTTTAATTCAAGAGCATGTGAATAAAAGCAAATGGAGCAGATTGTGGGATCCAGGGTTAGAATTTGTCAAGGCAGGATTTTAGATTGGACAGAGGCAGGTGTATACTTGAACTGGTTCAACCAAGGAGTCCAGATAGGAAAAGAAGAAGTGCATAGCCAGCTCAGGAGTGATATTGGCCTGGGAATGTTCTGCCAGGTGGCATTGATGGAAATCATTTAAGTTTGAAAATCAAGATTAGAGTGTCTTAAGGCATAGGAAAAGATGAAATAATGATTATGATAAAGGAATTTGAGAGCTTATAAAATGGAACTAGAACACTGTGATGATTAAAAAAGTTCCAAGAGACATAGTTTCTGGGTAATTTAATCATTTTATTAATAAGGCCAGCATATTTATTAATAAAAAGATGATCATTTGGCCATCTCTTTTAGACAGAAGACCCCTCATGGTGGTGGGCTTATAGTTTATATGCCCTTTGAAGAGGAGCTGTTCCTGAGGGGTGGCAATCAACTTTGATTAGTTAACAATGAGAAAATGAATATTACAACAGAAGGTGGGCTTTATTAAAATGAGGGTCTTGGGGTACATGACTTGGATCACCCAAATCTTGGTCAAAGAGATTTATCCATTTCCTTATTACCTGTCTGACAAAAGAGAGAATCAAACTTCCCCAGACCACTCTGAACAAACACCAATTAACCCAAATTTAGACTTCCTGTCAGATTAGATCTTGGCTTGGATAAATCTTTAAGAGAAATTTCCCACACTGGTTGGTTTCTGGATGAGGAAGTAGTAAAGGAAAAAACCTTTGGTCCTAATACAATAATTAGTTATTAAACAAAAAAGCTGACACTTATAAATGCCAATGGTATGAACATCTCTAGGTCATGGAACTGAGAATATGCTAATAAGGCAGGAGTTGAGATGGAAAGACTGTAAGCCAGGCACAGAACTCATTGAAGAAGATATGAGAATGTCCTAAGGTTCCATAGATAATGTACGAGTATCTTCAAATATTTGATTTTCCAGCTGGCAGAAATAGTGTAAGGTTGAGGGAATCTTTCTTGGAACCAAGGAGTTCCACTACAACTTTTTTCATAATTAAGATTATATCATTCTTAGATTTCTGTTTTATTGAAACTGTAAAACAGAAAATGGAACTGGAATTTTATTTATTTACCCATCCATTCTTTCATTTATTTACAAATGTGATGTATGAAAAGTCCAAGAGACATAATTTCTGGGTAATTAATAATTTTATTAATTATGACTAGCAAATATTTAATAAAAAGATGGTCATTTGCCTTTCTCTAGTAAAGGAAAGAGCAATGATGGAGGCCTCTCAAGAGTGAGTGGTCCCAATAGGTGAAAATCAACTCTGATTGGCTAACAATTAATGAGAGAATGACTATTATAATGAAGGTGGGCCTATTTTAATAAGGGACTGGGGGACGTGACTTTGGTTATGTCACTCTTAATCCTCTCCACCCAGACAGTTGGGTGGGGTTCCAACAAAATATGTACTCTAAGGATTTGGGCAATCAGCTATCAGCAATGTCTTTCAAAGATTGGCTATATAATCTACAGGGGTTTATTTCTCCATAAGGAAATAGAAAGGGGAAACCTTACTCTCAATTAATAATTGATTGTTAATATAAGAGAAAAATAATTTCTCACAAACATGGATTGAATGTATGCCACAAAGCACCCAAACCTAACCCCTCCACTTTGGGGGAGACAAAATTAGAGAAATTTGAAAGGAACCCCATTGTCATCTGGAATGATGCCTGGGCACGTTTTGGTTTTGAATTGCTCCTTGGCAGTTGACTGAACCATAGATTACCAGCGGGAAGAGACTTTGGAGATCCTTTTGTTTCTCCTGGTGAGAAGACTCAGGGACTGAATGATTGCCCCACCTCTCCAGCCCTAGGTTATCTACCTGTCCTCAGCCCCGGGGCATTACTCTGATCATGCCCCAGTTTGCAAACCGGTGGCCTGATTTTCCAGACTTCCCTTCGTATTTCTTTCTCAAAGAGCACCTGCTTTAGGAAAGGCCTGACACTGGCTTCCTGGACTGACCAGGGTTTGAGGATGGAGAGAGAGAAAGCCTGGGAGCTCTGGATCCTGGAGAGGAGATGGAGCTGGATGGGGCATGGGGCAGCGGAGTCCTGGCTCCCCAAGCCCGGCAGCGACTGGAGCGGCAGAATCCGAGAGCCTGGAGGGGGCCGGGGGGAGAAAAGCCCCCAGGATCTCAGGGCTTGCACTTTCATTTCCACAGCCCCGGTTCCCAATGCTCCGGGTGTGCCCGGAGGTCCCTTCCTCTCCCTCATCCTCCTCCTCCCCCCACCCCTTTCCCTTTTCTGCGCCTTCGCCCAGAACAGGTTCGCACAAGAGGAAATCACCTGCCTGGGGTTGGAAGGGTAACTCGCCTCCTTTGCCTCTCCTGCTTGCTCTCCATGCCCTAACGACCCCCCGCCCCGCAGCAAGCCGTCTGCACCGAGTTCCCCGCTACCCTTCGGTTCCGGAGGGGAATGAATGGAAAGAAAGAGTAGGTGGGAGGGCTTAGAGCACCCAAGATTTCAGACACTTGTATTTTAATTTTCAAAGTCTTGAGGTTTGTGCGAGCAGAAGCAAAAAAGATGAGAACAAAAAGAAACACTGAGCAACTGAAAAGTGAGGCAAAAGCAACAAGAAATAAGCGAACAGAGACAGGAAGAAAAATACAAAAGCAGAGACAGAGTAGAAGAAAGACAGACTAGAGTGAGACGGATAAGCAATGTTTCTTTTTCCATAATAAGAGAACAGAGACGGGAAGAAAAATACAAAAAAACCCCCAAAACCCAAAGAGACAGATGAGCAACATGTTTGTCTTCCATAGGAAAGGGGGAAAGGGGGGGGAAAACAAAAAACACAGTGCGCCCAACGTGGGGCTCGAACCCACGACCCTGAGATTAAGAGTCTCATGCTCTACCGACTGAGCTAGCCGGGCTCTTGAATACACATTTGACCCACATCTCCCAGGAGGCTAGGACTTTTGACTAGTTCAAAGAAATTTGATCTTTCTTTTTTCTTCCACTCTGTTTATTTCTTTTGCGGGGCCCTCTAATTGCCAATGGTAAAGAGGGGAAGGAAGGAACGGGAGGGTAACAAATACACAGAGAAAAATTGTAAGTTAAAAAATGGGGAAAAGTCAACTTCCAAAAAAAAAAAAGCCCCTGTTTCCGCCCGGTTTCGAACCGGGGACCTTTCGCGTGTGAGGCGAACGTGATAACCACTACACTACGGAAACTAATTAGAGACCTTCGTTTCCCCCCAAGGCCTAAGAAGCTAGATAGTTGTTCACTATCACTTTTCCAAATACAGAAGTAATGCCGTCCTAAACTGCCTCCTGGGATTTTTTTGTTTGTTTGTTTGTTTTTTTGGGTTTTTTCCTCCTTCAGGGTACCTAGGACCCTCAGTCAAATGTCACCCCTGCTTTCGGGCCCACATTTCAATATACTTAAGTCTCGAAATTCGACATCTTTGGAGTCTGAAATCTTGGGCGCTCTAAGCCCTCACACCTACTCTTTGGTTCCATTCATTCCCCTTCGCAAAGCTACAGTCACCATGGACCCAAAAGCCCTCGCAACTTTATGTCTTTTATGCAGTCTTGCTTTTTTCAGACCCAGTCTCCTTCGGTGAGGTTCACTTTAGAAGCGACTGACCTCCCCCAAAATTCCTCCTCGATGGAATCGTCTAGAGTCCTCCTAACCACAAAGTCCTTGGGCTAGAACGACCGGAAGCTTACAAGAACGCAAGCGTAAAAGTCTCTCTTCGTCTTCCTGTTTCCATAACTTCACTCCATTTCCAGTAACCGCCGGTTGGTTGGAGCTGCCCAAGACCTCCGTAGGGGGTAGAGTGGGAACGGCGCTCGCGAAATTCGAAGACGCTTCGACGGATGGCCTAGAGCGTCGCCCTTCCTATTCCCCTCCCCCCCTCCAACTGGTGTCTTCCATTTCGGGGGGGGAGGGGGTATCCTCCAACCAGCGCGACGGCCGTTAGCCTTCTTAAGTACCATAGAGACCTGGACTTTCTGCGCCCGCCCACTCTTCCGCCTCGGGCGCCTATGGGAGCGTCGCTTTCTAGCTCACTTCCTGCTGGCTGAGAGCGCAAGAGCAGGAGGAGAAAAGAGGAGAGGAAGGGGGCGGGGCAGCCCAAGACAGAAGGAGTCAAGGAGCCCCGGGTGGAAGGAAATGGGCGTGAGAAGAGGCCGGAAGTAAAGCAAAGAATGCAGGAAGTGAAGGGGAGGAGCTAGGGGCAAGGGGAGGGGGCCATATGAGGAGGGGGAAGGGGGAATTAGGTAGGATTTGCATTCAGAACCCAGACAGGGCAAGCAGTTCGGGGGGCCCCGAAATAGTGCCATTTCTCCCTTCAGCAGCGTGGGGGTGGGGGTGGGGGTGGGTGGGAAGGGCTATTTATCTATTAGGCTTGTAAATTAGAGCTCCTCTGTTCTTGAGGCTGGAAAGTGTGTGTGTGTGTGTGTACGCGCGTATGCGTGTGCGCGCGTGTGCGCCAGTGTGTTTGGGCCAGGCCACCTCTGTGGCCCCCGTTGGGAGTAGGGGAGAGAAAGGGGGCGGAAAGGGAGGTCGATTGTAGAATCCACAAGGAAGACCCTCCCTCTTGCCGGCCTCCCCTTTGTAGCCCTTGGCATTCAACATCCTCCCTGGTTGACTTGAGACTAAGATGGCTGCCGTTGCCATGGCACCCAACCCAGTCCAGACCCTCCAAGAGGAGGCAGTATGTGCCATCTGCCTGGATTACTTCACCGACCCCGTGTCCATTGGCTGTGGGCACAACTTCTGCAGGGTGTGTGTGACCCAGCTGTGGGGGGGAGAGGATGAGGAGGAGGAGAGGGAGGAGGAGGAAGATGAAGGGGAGGAAGAGGAGGTGGAGGCAGTGGGTGCCAGTGGTGGGTGGGACACCCCCATGCGAGAGGATGAGTACGAGGGGGATATGGAAGAAGAGGAGGTGGAGGAGGAAGAGGATGAGGAGTTTTGGACCAATAGTATCAATGGCCCCACCTGGGACAACATGTATTATGTGTGGGATGAGGATGAAGAGGAAGATCTGGACTACTACCTAGGGGATGTGGAAGAGGAGCTGAGGGGCGAGGAGGAGGAAGAAGATGAAGATGAGGAGGTGTTGGAGGAAGATGAAGAGGAAGAGCTGGAGCCAGCCACCCCTCCACCACCCGCCCCCGCTCCTAGGCGCAGATTTACCTGCCCCCAGTGTAGGAAGACGTTCCCCCGTAGGAGCTTTAGACCCAACCTGCAGTTGGCCAACATGGTGCAGGTAATTCGGCAAATGCACCCAGCTCCTCGGAGAGGAAGCCGGGGCAGTGAACAAGGTGTGTGCCCCAAGCACCAGGAGGCTCTGAAGTTGTTCTGTGAGGTGGATGAGGAAGCTATCTGTGTGGTGTGCCGAGAGTCAAGAAACCACAAGCAACACAGTGTGGTGCCACTGGAGGAAGTGGTGCAGGAGTACAAGGTGAGAATGAGAAAGGGGCGCAGTCCTGGCGTGGTAGAAAGGAGGCGAGGCAGCCCAGAGTGGGTAGAGGAGGGTGACACTGCCCTTTCCCTGCCAGGTCTCATCCCCAATTCAGCCTTATTACTTCAGCTTCATACTAGAGGAGAAAGGTAAGGAAGGGCCCACCTGGAGAAATAGAAGCATAATATCGAGAATAAGCCTTTATATAGTTACAGATGTTACCTCATTTTATCCTCCCAACAACCCTGTGAGATAGGTGTTTCACATGGGTAAAAACTGGGATAGGCTGCCCTATTCACGATATGCTGGGCACAATGTCAGATTACCAGGGAGCAGACTACTGCTGCTTTCTGCAGGTTAATTTTTTTGGGTTTTTTTGATAAGCAAAGAAAACCCTGGCCCTGACAATGATCCACAGACACCCTAGAGACAGGGATGGAGAATTATAGAAATTTAGGAGAAAAACAAATTGGGGGAACACTTTAGGCTGAGAGTTAGCTGATAACTATTCAGCTGTCAGGTGTAAAATCCAGAATAATTAATGAGGGTGGGATGCTCCTCAGACCCACACCTGCTTCATTCTCCAGCCTTGCTGACCATTTTATACTAATTGGATAGTTTTGCAGGAGACAGACTTGTTGCTTCAACATTAGCCTACCTCTATTTTTTTTCTGGGTGGCTTCTGATTGAGATCCCACCTTTGGATTCTAATTATAGATTGATTGGTTGACACCTCATTTATTTCTGGGCCTGGCTAAGTTGTTGGACTTGGCAACTAAGAATTCATTGTATAATAGAATGAATTGTACCTTGAGACCAAGTTGGGTTTATCTAATTCACACCTCATGATCCCTGCACCCAACCTAGAACTGTAAACTGCCTGAGGGGGATTAAGTCTTTTTTTTCCTTTGCATCTCCCTTATTGCTTTGAACTGGGCTCTCCACAATAGTATGTAAAATTAATGTCATTAGTATTGATAGTGGTTCTGAGAATAAATTCAGTACTTGCCTATTCTCTCCAGGCATATCTCCCAGAAGAATCCTAGACCTGAATTTTAGTTCAATTGGCAATTTTTTTAGTTTCTTTTATTTGTAGAGACTTGTACTAGATACTGTATCAGAGTTTGGTTGGGGGAGAAATGAAATGGATGCAAAAGACAACACATGATCCTTGCCCTTGACAGTCTTTATTCCATCAAAGACTTGACAAATAGGAACTTTTAAAAGTAGTTATAACAGATTGATAATTATGAATTAGTAATTTATTGTAGTTATTATAAGTCACTTCAAAAGTTGTAAATGAAATTCCACTACTGAGAAAAATGCTTTACTTTCTTACTTCATAGAATCTTCATTCTCTTTGACTTTGAAGACCACCTACAGAATTTACCAGAACTATTGATTAACCACTGGGATACTAAGGCAGAGGAGAGAGAAGAGGGGAGGAAAAACATGAGAATAGAAGATCAATAGAGGATAAATGCAAATAATGTGGCAAGGGTTGAGCTATCAGTAGATTTTCATTGGCACCACCCATATGTTCTTGTCCTGGCCATGTCATAACTCTTTTTAAAGAAAAAAATAGCTCTCTGTTAAATTTGTTCACAAAGCATTTCTCATTTAGTCATCTTGAAAGTGAAAACTGGAGAGCTAAACTGGATCTGACTTACTAACTCTTGTTCAGAAATTATCCTTCCATGCCTTTTACTCCTAACTTTAAATAACTCAAAATAAAACATCCTCATTAAAAATAAAACTGCAAACCTAGAGCTTGGCACCCTTTTAAAGAGTTGTGTCAGGGTCTTTTCCCTTTCTTTCTGGCATGGTGGGAGGAAATGTATGTTTGTGTAGGCTGCTGACTTTCTTAAAGAGCAGAGAAGCCATATGATTCCAGTGGTGACAAAGACTGTAGATTTCCAACTCTGTATAAAGCTAAAAGTTCCAGTGGTTTGATGAATAAAGGGGTAAGAGGTAAATGTATGTGCAGGACACCTTTTTTGCCCATTTGTGGAGAATGTTTTTTTTTTCATTGCCCATAAAGGGAGGCTGAGTATTCTATCTAATGATATACTCATTACAACCAGTTGAAAAAACAAATATGCTTGTCCCATTCCTACCATTCACATGTGACAGGCCAAGCTGCAGGGTCACGTGGAGCCATTGAGGAAGCATCTGGAAGCTGTGCAGAAACTGAAGGCCAAGGAAGAGAGGAGGGTCATGGAGCTCAAGGCAGGTGGATGTGATTGGGAGCGTGGGCACAGTCCAAGGCAAGAGTCCTGTGTCTGGAGAGGATGGGGAGACACAGAGGATGAAGAAGCCAGACGCTGGTGTGATGAGGGGAATGGAAAAGGAGCTATAATGGGAGGTGGAGTGAAGTGGAGACCAAGGGTCAGATGCTGAGATCTTTGAAGGAGAATGGGAATTCAGTGTAGGAAATGTGATACTAGGAGAGTCTTTGTGAGGAAACTGGGAAAGAGTGATTAGAGAAGAGAAAATAAAAAATAAGACCTAAGGGGTGGAAGGGGCCTTGGAGATCATCTGGTCCAGCCCACCTGTTTTACCAATGAGGAAATTGAGGTTCAAAGAAATTAAGTGACTTGCCCATGGTCACAGATATGGCAGTAACAAAACTGGGATGAGAATCCAGAGCTTCTGGACTCCTTAGTGAGTATTCTTTCACATGTTACCTAGAACAAGAAACCTTGGATTTGTTGTCCAATGGTGAGGGCCAGGAATAGGGGAGAATAGTAAAAGTGAACTCTTGGTATATTGATGACCAAGTGACCCCCTCATCCGTTTTTATCCCTCCTAGAGTCAGATGAAGACAGAGCTGGCAGCAGTAGCAACAGAATTTGGAAGATTGGCACGGTTTCTGGCTGATGAACAAGCTGGGCTAGAACGGCGTTTACGGGAACAGCATGAAGCCCAGTTAGGGCGAGCAGGAGCCGCAGCAGGACGCCTCGGGGAGCAAGCTGCACAGCTAAGTCGACTGCTGGCCGAGGCACAAGAGAAAAGCCAACAGGGGGGACTTCGACTGCTTAAGGTGAGAACAACTTCAAATTCCATTCCGTGTCTAGCTACCCAGGCCCTTGTTCTCTTCAATCCCAACTCTTCCCACCCTGCTGTTCTTTCCTCAATCAACGTTTATCAAGAACCTATTAAATATAATCCTTAACATGTATTTATTCGTCACTCACTGGCAGCAAAATGCAGAGAATAACAGTCATGGTTCTTGCCCACAGGTAGCTTTCAGTCTTAAGTTAGAGGAGACATTTATAAATGTGTGTTAATGTGGTTGCATATTAAATTCTATAGGAATTCAGAGCAGGAAGCAGTTTAGCCCTGGATGGTTCACATTCTATAGTTAGTTATTAGAATGACCTTGAAGGTTGCTTTACTGGACCTGTACCTAATCTATGTGAATCCACAGAATCACAGAATTTCATAGTTGGAAGGAACTTCTAGTGTCCATCTTTGGTGTCCAGTCCTTGATCAAAAATCTCCTCTACGATGTATCTGACATTTAGCCTTTGCCTGAAGGCCTCCAGTGAGAGGACACTCACTACTCACTGTGGTAGTCCATTCCACTCTTGGACAGCTCAAATTGCTAAGAAGTTTTTCCTCACATCAAGCCCAAATATCCCTCTTTGCAACTTCCTCTTATACATCCTAGTTCTTCTCTCTAGGGACAAAAACAACAAGTCTAACCCCTTTTTTGACCCAACAGCCCTTCAAACACTCAAAGACAACTATTACATCTCCTCTTAGTCCTGTTTTCCAGGCTAAACATCCCCATTGTCTGTAACTAAAACTTATATAGCATAAACTCTTATTCTTAAACCCTATTCCATTTAATTAGATCACGTAGAAATGACTGGTTTGTGCTAAAAAGCATTCAAAAAAGACACATTTGAACATTAGAATTTACAAATTCAAAATTGTGAAATATGTCTGGCACAAGAACTGGGACTGGTAATCTATATACTCCTATCTTCTTGATGGATATGTCTGTTCAGAAAAATCTTGTTAAAAAGCAATAGAGTAGAAGAGAACAGAAGGAGTTGTTCCATAAGAAGAGTTTCTTTTAGGTCATACTGGAATCCATAGGAATCAAACTTTTTCACTTGAGTAGGTAGGTCTAAGGCCTGTTTCCTAGCATGTCTATGTAACTACAGTTTGGCAGATGGGAACTACTCAAGTGCAAAGAAAAATTTAATTTCACTCCACAGATATATATTGAATCCTTATTGTTTGCAAGGCACTGTGCTCTAGGTTCTGTTGGGGATAAAAAGATGAATGAGACATAATCCCATCCACAGATGTGGAAACAGTGGAAATGGTAGTGTAGTGGAGGGAAGAAGACACGTTCCCAAGTATATAAGATACAAAGTAGAGGGTAAGAATTCATGAAAGGTATATAAAGAAAAAAGGTGTGATTAGAGTTCAAAGAAAGACAGTCATTACTGGTAAAGCAGAATTAGGAAAGGTTTTAGGGAAGAAGTGACTTTTGTAAGGCTGACCTTGAAGGATAGGTAGGATTCTGAATGGTTGGCATGTAGGAGGTATTCCACAGGTGTAGAAGTGAAAAAATGCAGGGCATGTTTGGGTAATAGCTGTAGTCCATTTTGATTAAATCAAGTGTGAGATAAAACTGGTAAATTAGAACCAGATAGTAAAGGGCCTTGAACATTGAGTGAAGGAATCTTAACTGAATTCATTGCATCAGGAAGCTGCAGAACATTTGTGAGCAGAGCGGGTCACACATTCAGGGCCTAAAGTAGAGAGATTGATCTGGCTTTACTGCATGAAATGCATTGGAGAGGGGAGAGACTAGTTTAGAGGCTGTTTTAATAGCATAAATGAGAAATAATGAAAGCCTGGACCAGAGATAGTGGAGTGGAGAGGAAGCTATGTATAGGACAGTGACTCCAGAAGCAAAACTGACTAGAAGGGCACCTGGATGAAGAGGAAGAATGAGGAGTGAAAAATTACTGAAAAATTCCAAGAGGGCCCCTCTGACCCCTCCATGGTGGCACAGCTGACAGGCATAGGTCAGTTGAGTGGCAGGTCTGGAGGAAAATTAAGCTCTGTTTAAGACAGGTTGTTTGAGGTAGCAGAAGAACATCAGGCAGGCCTGGTCCCTGAGAGCAAATGGGGCCTGGACCCGAGTTTGAGAAGTCATTAGAAGGAAGTAATATTTGAAACCATGGGAGGAAAGGGGGTGGGTGGGCCTCTATTCCTCAGTGCCTTTCATTTATTTCTCCAAGAAGCACTGGTATTGGCTTATTGATTCCCCCATTTGAGTTTTTGCTGCCACTTCCTTCTGGGTCTTAGTTGCCTAATAAGTGTTTATTAATTACTTCTTGACTATTAGGCTTTTCAAGGTGCTGTACCATGTCAGTTACACTTCACTTGCCCGCCAAGGAGCCATTAAAGCTCCATCTTAGACCCCTGAATGAAAAAGATTCTCATGTCTGACCCTCAACAACTTAGTCTGTTTTTCTTTCACTGACCTTTGTTCAGGGCCAACCTCTGCCAGACTATGGGATGCTGGGTCAGTCACTTATCTTTTCAGTTCTATAGGCAGCTCTCTGAGAATGCAGGTTGCCAGAACCATTGCTGATCTGCATTAGTACAGGAGTTTCCTCAACAGTAGTTGTCTACATCTAAGATGTCAAACTTGCAACCCAGGCCATGGCCTGAATCAGATTAAAATGAATTAGGAAATGTTTAACAAAATAAAAATTCCATACAACATATGTAATGTGTACTTGTGGTTTTCTAAGTCAATGCGTGGCCCATAGGGATCCATTTCTGTTTGAGTTTGACATCATTGGTCTGCAGTGAAATCACAGGTCTGGTCTGCAAAAAGAGGCAGTATGGTATTTTGTTTGTTTGTTTTCTGGTGAGGCACTTGGGGTTAAGTAACTTGCCCAGAGTCACACAGCTAGTGAGTGTTATGTGTCTGGGGCCAGATTTGAACTCAGGTCCTCCTGACTCCAGGGCCACCTACCTGCCCCCAGCAGTATGATATTAATTAAAAGTAGGAACACTGGATTTGAGTCATAAGACCTCTGTTTGAGTCCTGGCTCTGGGACTAACTAGCTATATGACCATGGGTTAGCTCATCTCTGAACTCTATGCAATCCTATAAAATGTGTATATAATAGCTATACTTGTCACTTCACAGAATTCCTCTTAGGAAAGTGTTTTATAAGCTAGAAAGTGCTATATAAATACACTCTGTATTATGGGATATGTTTATCTGCAGCTTTCAGATCCTTTTGTCTGTAAAGTCTTCATGGATAAGGTGGAACTGGAGCTATGTGTGAAGAATAGCTAGGATTTAGATAAGTAGAGATGAAGGAAGAGGACATTTCAGGCATAGATGACAATAAGAGCAATAGACTGGAGGCAGGAATGAGTTTATTAGGGGTAACTGAATAACCCAACCTGATTGATGCTAAAAATGGCTTGTCGAAGTAGTTTTTAAATATGATTGGATAGTAGAACCTGATTAGGAAAGACCTTGAAAGCTGTATGGAAGCAAAATTTTGAGGCTATAATGGATTTGAAGATTATCTAATTCAAATCTCCCTTTCCCCCTTTTTTTTAAACAGATGAATCACTGGATACTCTGGGGGATTAAACAGTTTGCCCATAGTTAGTGGCAGCTTGAACTAGAACCAAGGCCTCTTGACTTAGTTCCTTGTTCCTTCACACTCCTTGGTACTCATAGGAGAGTGATATGATAAAAATAGTATTTTAGGAAACTTAGTCTAGTGTTTTGCTATATAGAGTGAACTGAATTGGGGAGAGACTGCAGAGACCAGCTACAAGGCATTTATAGTCATCCTAGACCTCAGGGCCTGGATTGGGGCAGGAACAGTGAGAATGAAGTATAATGGAGTGTTATACTCAGGAGTCTGAGAGGTATTTTTTAAAAAGGGTGTATGGGAGGCTTTCTACAAATTGGCTCTAGGGATTGCAGGAGAGGGAAGGATCCAGTATAATTTCAATGATTTGACACTGCTCTTCCTTCTTCTTAAAATAAGTTTGTGATAGATATCTTTAGTTTTTACATCACAGTTATTTCCCAGTATACACCTCCACCTTATTGATTGATCCCTACAACAAAGAAAAACAGTCCTAAAACAGCTGACATAGGGGCCAAATCTGACAATACATGTAGCATTCCACACCCATTCTTCCCTACCTCTCCTGAAAAAGGTAAAGTCATAGTATCATAGATTCGAAGGCCAGGGACCTTAGATGGCATCTAATCCAACCTTGATGTTCACAGATGAGGGAGCTGAGAGAGGCTCAGTGACTTGTTTGTAGTCGCAGAGCTGGTAGCAGATCTGGGATTTGAACCGTGGTCCCTTAGCTCCAAATTCACTATTCTTTCCACTGTAACATGATGCCTACTTAAGTTTCATTATTTGTTTTCCAGAACTAAGATCAGTCATTATAATTATATCCTTCCAGTTTTCTCTTTGTTTACATTATTGTTGTCATTAGGTATATTCTGCATCTCTTTACACAAGTTCTCACTGAATTTCTTTCAATTTCTTCCTCCTTACAGTGCCAATAAAATTCCCTTATATTCATATACCATCAACTTGATTTCCAGTTTTCTTATACTACAAAAAGTGCTGCTCTGAATTTGGTGCTTGTGCCTAGTAGTGGAATTCCTGTGTCCCCCTCATCTTCATTCTTCCTCCCTCATCTTTCATCTTCTGATTTTTCTCCTGTCTTACTACTCCTTCCTGGTCTCTTCATTTTCTTTCTGCCCCCTTCCCCATATGGATGTCCCACAGGCTCTCAGCTGAGCTCTTTTCTCTTCCCCTTGTCAGTTCCACTCTTGCTTGTGACTTAAGTTATCTTTTCTATTTGTGACTCCCAAAGCCACATATTCAGATTTTTCTGATTTTTTTTTCCTGATTTTTCTCTATTCAGCAGGCCTTCATTTCCAGCAGCCTCCTAGGCAATCCTAGCTATTGATCCCTTAAACTCAACATTGAGTTTAAAACTGAACTTGAAATCAATCCCCTCTTCCCATCCTCGGCACAATTTTCTGACTTCTTTTTCTCTGATTTCCTTTTTATGGCCCCACTGCTCCTCTAATCATCCAGACTAAAAACCTTGGAATTGTCACCAAATCCTGTCAGTTCTCCCTCCAAAGTACTTCTCCTGCCATCCCCTTCTCTCCACCACACTGCTCACATTTTAGCCCCTCTGGGCTTGGAATGTTTATTGTAATAGTATTTCTGTCTAGTGGCCTTGCCTCTAGTCCCTCCCTCCTCCAGTAAACCCTTTGCACAGCTTCCTAATACTCAGGTCTGACCATGGCACTCCTCTTCTCAGGACATTTGGAGGCTTTTTGTTGCTTGTAGGATAAATTGCAGACACCTTAATTTACAAATGTAGCGCTTCACAGTCTAACCACAATCTCTTTTTCCAGCCTCTTTTCACATTTTCTCCCCTTCACATAATCTACAATCCAGAGAAGCTGGTCTAGTAGCTGTCCTCCAGTCTCATTCTGCCCTCTTTTCCCCTCCATGTATTTGCATAGGCCATCTCCCAAGCCTGGAATGTACTCCCTCTGCCTGCTGAAATCGTTCTCTTCCCTAGAGGTCCCATTCAGTTGCTGCCTCATCCATGCCCCACGTCTCCTCCCTTGTACTTCTCCTCTTCCTCCTCGGTTAAAATAAGTTCTCCTCGCGTTTTTCTTACGTATTTTGTCTGGATCTCTCCTATATATTCTACCTTATATTATGCATATTGTATAAGTATTTTATCTTTCCTCTCCCTCCCTCCCCCTCCCCCACCCTCATAGTAAGCTCTTTGAGAGCCCAGATTATGCTTTTTTTTTCATCTTTGTGCCTTTATACATAGTAACTGCTTAATAATTATTGAATTGAGTAGAATCTAGGATCCCCGAAGAATGATAGTACTTGTTGACAGAAATAAATATACCGAAATAGTAAAGGGCTATGAACAGTTTTGACGTTTCCTCACATTTAGGAGGCAGAAGGAAGAAGAATTATTAAACGAGATTAAGGAGTATCAAAAAAAAGAAGACTGCAGTATCACAAAAGCCAAGGAAATAAACAGTTTCAAGAAATGTCATCAACATTAAAAGTCAAGGAATAATGTCATCTGAACTTCACTAGTTGTGGCTTCAGAGTAGTTTCAATAAATTTGTAGCGACCGAAACTAGAGTACCAAGTTAAATGTCAAGTGTGGTGCTAACAGATGCCGACCCATGTTTGAGGAGTTGGGCAGAGAAGGGAAAGATTGGATGCGAAAGAAGAATTGTTGGGTCAATTAAAAGGCACCTTCTTAAAAGGCATAAAGGAAAGGAGAATATGGAAAAGGAGAGAGTAAAGGAAAGGAGTAGGTGGTGTTGAGGGGAAATGGAGTGTAGCATTTAGGTAGATTATATTTACAGAAAACAGAGGTTCCTTTGAGAAGGGAAGAAAGTGCAACTTGATAGATATATGGACTGTATCCTTTATTCTCATTTCAGGATTGGACTAGATAATTTTCAGGATCTCATTTATCCCTTACATTCTGTAATCTATTGATCTAAATTCAGTAGTACAGAGGGGAACCCTTATCAGATAAACTCTGTAATTTAAGGGGCAAAGTTGTCCACTAAGTGAGGGTGGACAGTTGGAAGTTTAAAGTTACCTGAAGTAACTACATTGGGTATATTAGAAGTATATTAAAGAGTCAGAGATGACTAAAAGAGTTACAGACATAAGGACAGCATAAAGCTTAATTGGGGCCAAATCTTAAAGGTTGTGTTGCTTTTAGAAATTCTCCTTGACTTGAGAGCAGACAAATGGAATGATGATACTGGTGTTGGGAGTCATGGATTATCAGAGAAGGTGGAAGGGGAAGAAAGAAAGATAAGAGAGATACTGAATACTCAGTTACCTCTGACAAATTTTTTGTCCTGAGACAGCTTTTCTCCGGTCCCCCAGCATATTTCTGGGCTACATTCTCCCAAAACAGTCATTATATACTTAGACTTGGACTATTAAAATGAATTTGCATTCCATAATATAATTAGGAAGATAAATCCGCTGTTGTTAGGGCAGAAATTATAAAACACATTCTAAAGCAAATAGAAATGATACATTGAAGTCATATCTTTTGGACTATACCTGTTACCACTTGCCTACATTATTGTGGATCTTAAAGGGATGGTTATCTTTCCAAAGTAGGAAAAGACTGGGATGCTTCAACCTGAAGAGAATAGAGCCAGAGTCATTATGGAAACCGAATAGTGGACATGAGGGTTTGAAGGGTTATTGGCAGAATGAAAAGGAATAGAATTAAATTGCAGTAGGTGGGATATTAAGTCAGACTGGAGAAGAATTTCTAAACAGTAAGACCCTGGACCAAGTGTCCAAGAGGATGTGACATTGCTTTTTTTAGGGTCCTTTAAAGATGAAAAAGACCCTCAGTGAATGGCATAACATGGGTTGAGTAACTGGAGGTATAGGGGTTGGAGGAGATGAATTAAAACTCCTTCATTTTCTCAAATGTCCCCAAACCTAGCCCTTCTGTTCTGGGCTGGAGATCTAGGGGATAAGGAAACCAACTGTGAAGGGCTGACTTTATCTTTCTTTCCCCTTCCTTACCCCGACTTTTTGTCTCTATTATTCTCAGGACATCAAGGAGACTTTTAACAGGTGAGTTTCTATCCCTCAAAACCCTGAATTCCACAGAATACAGATTTTTAACTAGGACCAAGGCGTCTGGTTTCCTTGGCCCTGATTCTCCTACATACCCTGTTAACCCTGACCAGATATCTGGATCTTCCCTTATCTCCCTCCCTGGACCCACACATCTTGTCCCCAGCCCCTGAATCCTTGTCTTCCTTTCTCAGGACCCAAATGTCTATCTCCCAGCCCCCAATTCTCCTCCCCTATCTTTCCCTCTCTCTTCTGGAACTTTAGCATCCTATGTGAACCAACTTCTAATCCTCTCCCAGGTGTGAGGAGGTACAGCTGCAGCCTCCAGAGATCTGGTCCCCAGATCCCAGCCATCCCCACAGTCATGACTTCTTGACAGATGCCATCGTGAGGAAGATGAGTCGGATGTTCTGTCAGGCTGCCCGAGGTACAGAGAATTCACAAATCACCTTTCCTCCTCCATCATCCCTGTACAATTTAGAACCAGAGTTTGGAGAAAGTGTGTGTGTATTGATAGAATAGAAGGGAAGATACATGGGTGATCTTTGGACTTGAATGTAGGCTAGGACCTAAGGGTCCTAGAAAAATGGTTAGAAGTTAGGGGATAGAACTTGGGGGCAGGATTACTGGTTCATTGAAGGGGAGCAAGAATCTTGAGTCAAGACACCTAGGTATGGGACTGAACCAAGTGAACTTCGAAACCTCTCCTTTCCTTCTCATTCCAGTGGACCTGACTCTGGATCCTGACACTGCTCATCCAGCCTTAGCCCTATCACCAGACCGACGCGGAGTCCGTCTGGCAGAACGGCGCCAGGAACTCCCTGACCACCCCAAACGATTTTCAGCCGAATGCTGTGTGCTAGGTGCCCAGGGCTTCCGTTCTGGTCGCCACTATTGGGAGGTGGAGGTAGGGGGGAGGCGTGGCTGGGCTGTAGGGGCTGCTCGTGAGTCAACTCGTCACAAGGAGAAGGGGGGACCAGCAGGGAGTTCTGGGGGTGGCAGTGGGGATGCCACCCCATCTCGCCACCACCATCGCCGCAGAAGGCCCTATTTGCCCCAGCAGCCAATGTTTCAAAGGGAGGTGTGGTGTGTGGGCACCAATGGGAAGCGCTACCAGGCACAGAGCTCAACTGAGCAGACACCTTTGAGCCCTGGTGACAAGCCACACCGATTAGGGGTATACCTGGACTATGAGGCAGGACGGCTGGGCTTCTACAATGCTGAGACTCTGGGACATGTACATACCTTCTCAGCTGCCTTTCTGGGTGAGCGGGTCTTCCCTTTCTTCCGGGTGATTTCCAAGGGCACCCGAATCAAACTCTGCCCCTAAAGCATTGCAGTGCTTGTTCCCCCTCCCCCAAACTTCCCTTATCAAGCTGGGAAGGTTGGTTCTCTTCTACAACACTACTCTTTTTCTCCTAGTTTCCCACCTCTGGTTTTCATTCTCCTACCTCCTCTGTCCTCTCATCCTTATCTATATTTGGGTATGGGTCCCTGAAAGGGATAAAATTGTTGAACAATCTGCTTTCCTCCCCCTCTGTTGTCTACCCTACCCATCTCCAATTCCACCTCTATTACTTATCTACCCAAAAGAATTTTATTTAGGGAGAGGAACATTTTTTTTTTAATGGATTGAGACCTTTCTCCTCCACACATATCTATACCTTTCTATCAGCTGTCTATAGCAGAGAGGGGGATATATGGGGAGGTTAGGTTCCTCTTAGGTTCTTTGTCTCTCAGGTCAGAAGCATAATGGTTGTCACCTTTGTGGTTTTCTTTTTCACCTTAGCTGTCTCTGCCTTCTCCTCCACTTCTTTTTATCCTGTTCTGCTGCTCACTTGCCTTCCATCTCCATTTCCCGAAGGGGAGTTTGTCACCAAAAATGTGACTCATGTTCTCAGGCTCAGATTCCCCTTTCCCCTCTCTAGTTTGCAGCTTGCAGCATCCCCTACTTGTAGAGGCCCACTAGGGGAGGTAGGGATCTGTTTGATCTTATCCCATTCTAGACATCTGAGAAATGCCTCCCACTCCACTTTAACACCAAGGGAACTGGATTAGGACTAACACCCAATAACTAAAAGTAATAAACTGTAGATACAATTCACAATACTTTTAAGAGCATTATTGAGTCTTGGGCATAGTCTATATTTTTCTAGAACCCTCTACTTCCACTTTGGGGGCATATTCCAAGTTGGAGGTAACCCACCCCCTACTCCCTATTTCTTAGCCTCCTGCCTTTCTCTCTACTGCTCTTTGGCTGAGGTTGGTTTGGGGGGAAATTGAGAGGTGGGAGTGTAATGGTGTGTTGAAATGGACAATGAAAGTTTACTGTTTAATCAGTTTCAGTGAGTAGTTATTTTGGTAGCTTCTGGGTGAAGATGCTGCCTAATTGGCTTAATTTCTTAACTTTCCCTTCTACCCTCCATCCCATTCCCTCCTTCCACCTTGTTTAAGCCCCTTCCAATGAGTGAAGTGCCATTCTGCATGAAATAGGGGCACATGGAAGTAACTGGAGGAAACCGAGCTGTCACACATGGGTCCCAAGTTCTAGGGAGGTGGCCCTACCCTACAAAGATCCTCTTGATTTTGTTCTTCAGATTTCCCTTTTCTCCCGTATCAGGCTCCACCTTGATCACCTTGAGTTTTCTCTTAATCACTTCTGCTTATTTTCACCTTAGATCCCCATATTTTACAGATTAAGATCTCATTCTCCCTACCTGCCTCATATACCCTTTATCTTCTCTACCTATATAGAGTGGGCATCTTTCTCACCCCTTCCCCTACAGGCTTTCCATTCTTTTTGGTGCCTGTCCTTTGGCTGCAACTTCCTACCCAGCCATCTTAACCATTTAAACATTTCATCTTCCCTCATACCTAAGATTTTCCTCCACTTAGCCCATTCCAGACATCTAAGAAATGCCTCCCACTCCACTTTAACACCAAGGGAACTGGATTAGGACTAACACCCAATAACTAAAAGAAATAAACCATAGATAAAATTCACAATACTTTTAAGAGCATTATTGAGAGATGGAAAGAAGTCATCTAAGTCCAATGATGTCAAGCTCAAGTAGAAATGCTGGCCACTAAGTAAGCACCCCTGTGTTCCTGGAATGAGTTAGAAAACCACACATTAACATGTTCTATTGCGTTTTTATTTTATTAAACATTTCCTAGTTGCATTTTAATCTGGGCTGGCCACCTGTCTGAACCCATTGATTAGTCATCTTATAGATGAGCAAACAGGCACAGAAACATTTAAATGACGAAGTCAAACAAAGCACTAATTCAAATCCAGACCTCTACTACACTGTGCTGCTAAGTCCTATGTACATTTGTCTGTAATACTGCTTTTATTTCCTTTGCTACCTAGGTGTTCCTAACTTTTTTTTTATTTTCAGCAGAGGTAGATGACTAAATATCATATTAATCCTTTCCCAATGAGCGTCAGGAAAAGAGCCCAGGAATTATCACCCATCTGGGGACTGGAGGGTGTATTAATTACCTGGTGCTATTAACTGGCAAAAAATAACAACCTTGATTGATGACTGTACCCCAGGGATTCCCTAGCAAGGTCACAGTAATGGGCAGAGTCACAATCCAAACTCTGATCTTGACACCAACTCCACTGATATTTTACCACTATACCGTATTACCTCCCATGTTAAAACACATTTAAATCCTCACAAGGGAAGAGGCCCTTGAGCCCCAGTTACCGTCTACCAAAAGTGCACTTGACTCATGAACCATGCTTTTTGGATGGAAGACTCCCCAGCCTCAGCCCCCCCTTGTCAAACAGTCCCTAACTATACCCCAAGAGCTACCAGAAGGGGCTGGAACAGCCTATGTTGAGTTGTCAGCTTAGGGTTGGGTTCCAGATATATCACTAGTGGGAGGTCTTTATAGAGCATCCAAGTAATCAACCACAACTCCCTGTGATTACTTAATGAGATTACCAGAGAGGAAATAACAATCCAATAAAAACTTCAATTTTACTCTGAAACCACAGTTGGGTGCACAAGTAGCTTATTACTAACTTAAACACTATACATTTATCTTCCAAAGCTATCATCTTAATACACTTTCATCTTTACACTATCCCTGAGTAGCTTCAGTGTAGAAAAGGTTATTTATTTCCTCTACATGATAAAATAGATACCCAGAAAAATTAGATTTTTCAGATTTTATAGCTTAGTATACAAGAGGAGCTTAGAGTCCAAAAATTAACTAAGAACACAAACTAAATAAAACTAAACATACAGAATACTCAAAATAATGGATGAAACAAAATCTATCATGACAAGCTAGACAAGATAAATTAGAAAATTTGATTGGGAGGGAAAATCTTTGCTTCCATTATCGCTGAAAAATCTGATTATGACCGAGAAAGCCGCTTCTCTAATAGCAAGTCAAACAATACAGTTTTAACAAGAAATTAAATGCCTACAGTTTTGTTTACAATCAATCCCTTTCCTGTTCTTAATGCCTGGTAGAAACAGCCACTTTATGTTAGGTTCAGAATAAAAATAAAGTCTAGGTTTAACGCCAGGTTGGATGAGGGCTCTTCCATCGAGAAGACCACTTCCAGAATACTCCAAAAATAAGTCTTTACTGCTCTTTTCTATTCTCGTGACTATAATTAGCCAATGATTCTGCCCCCAAAGTCTGTGTTCCTAGGTAAGCCCAATTTTTTTTGATCTTAAGAATTTGTCCTCAAAAGTCACCTGGCAGCTTTTAGACTAAAAAAACCTCTTCTCTTGTCAGGGAGATAGGGGGAAGTATCAGAAGTGTCTTCAGAGGATCAGTTGAGAAACCAAATCAACCAATCCAAAAAAATACAACTTCATTTTTTCAAAAGGCAGAAATTAAGATCTTTATTTCAAAATCTGAGTTATGGTTGACCCCTTTACCGAGTGCCAATGGTAACCTGCCACACCCGTACCAAGTTGTCTGTGTATCCAGCAAATAGGGTCTGCAGGAAGAAGACAAATATAATGTCACACACACATAAGCTCCAAAATGCAGTCTTCCCTCCCCCTTTACAGAATAGGAACCCTACCCTAACCATAGTTGCTAGTGCCATCCCTTGGAAATTTGTATAAATTTTATATTTGTCTACATGCATATTTATCTCCTGAACTGGAATATAATCGCCCTGAAGTCAGGAACTGGCACACTGTAATCAATTAAGAAATGGCTATTGAATAAATGAGCCACACGGAGGCTTAATTGAAGATAGAAACCCTATCAAATCACAGGATACCATTCTATCTCTTTTCACTTCCCAGAAAAGTGAAATGAGATGTAAAATAACTTGCCCAAATATTATTAAGAAAGAAGTGGAAGAGGCAATATCGAAAACTAAGTCCTCTTTCCACTGTTCACACTGCTTCTCCAATAAATTACAATTCCAAGCAATTAATAACCCAAGCCCAGGGAAAGAGACAGAGACCACTTTCAACAATTCCTTCCCAGTGCATATAAGAAGGGTCCAAGGGTCCCTTGAGGCAATCAACTCTGTCAGGGAGGGCAAGACGAACACTTACCTGGCCATCAGCAGACCAGGCTAAGGAAGTACACTGGGGAGGCTCAGCCTTGCTGCTGGTGCTGATCACTTCTTGCTTAAGCTCATCCACAATGATCTTGCCCTCTAGGTCCTGAAATTAACAATAATAACTAGAATTACACCATGCATTAGGTTTTTACAAAGTGTATATGTATACGTATGTGTATATTCTCCTCTTGATTTTTATTTCATTTGACTCTCACAAGCTTGTCAAATAGGTATTACCCTCAATTTACAGAAGCTGTGACTAAGCATTGGAGGCAGGAGTAGAAACATTTCTCTCCCTTGGCACACAGGGATGTAGTAACTTTCTGAATACTGAGGACCATACCAAGAGAGGTGTGGGGGCATCAGACTCCAGAAACTACTAAACTATCCAATAAGACATTTCAGCATTGTTCCCTTACGAGAGATTACATAGATATGTAAGATCACTGCCTACCAATTCAGGGAATATCCCAGACCCTCTCCTACTCTAACTTCAGATCTTGAGGAGCCAGGAGATTACTCAGAAACAGCCTCTGGATTTCAGCAGGGTCAGTCAGATGGCATGTTGGGTTTCATCACAGCTCTACCACGGCCCCTAGGCCCCTTCCACAAATATTTCTCTGAACTCTAGGCAATTTGAAACCGATCACTCACCCAGATCTTGATGCTGGGCCCAGTAGCAGCACAGAGCCAGTAGCGATTGGGGCTGAAGCAGAGAGCATTGATTATGTCACCACCATCCAGAGTGTAGAGGTGCTTGCCCTCATTGAGGTCCCACAACATGGCTTGACCATCCTACAAACAGAATGCAGAAATATTCCCATACAGTTAATTTCCTGCAAACCAGCCCATATCATTTCAGCTCCCCTTCTTCCTGTTCTGAAATTGCCCATAACTCTTCAATTCCTGTCATTTTCCCTGTTCCTACTGAGGTCGAAGGAGCCAGGACACAATTTGCTTTTCTAACAGTACCCCAAGAGGTTAAATGATGTATCAAAAAAATCACACAGGTAGTGCTAACTGAAATTCTAGTTCTAACTACAAACCCAGAAGCCCACACTCTACTGCACTGGTTCCCATGATCAAGAAAAACTGAATCCCCTTCAGGCTAGGACCCTTAAAACTCAGTTACCACTTACTAAAGTTTTCTTATATTTAACCCTTGGGTAGCTTTTTGGATGAAGGTCTTCCCACCTCTCATACCTTGCCTCCAGAGGCACACAGAGAGCCATCAGGAGAAACTGTAACTGTGTTTAGGTAGCCTGTGTGGCCAATGTGGTTTGTCTTCAGTTTGCAGTTGGCCAAGTTCCAGACCTAGAAATATGAGTGAGAGAAGAGGGAGAAATTTCAGAGGGAGGGATCTGCTCTTCATATAGAATCCACAATAAACTTGCAATTTTTCAGTTTTCCTGAGACCAGCGATGAAAATCCAATAGAAACCTGACTTTAGAATGGATTTGTTTTTAACCAGCAAACAGAATACGACCAGTCTGATACTAACTTGTACTCTTTAAAATTTATCAGTCATACAATTAGCAGCAGTAGTAAGTGGTACAAGGATTGTCTCCCCTTTTATAGATATCAAAAACCAACAACCAGATAAATTACTTGCTAATTTAGGCCATAAAGCACAGAGATTAAAATGTTAACCAGGTCTTTCAATTTCATAGCTTGGCCAGATGCTCAATATATAAATAACTAAGAACCACTCAAATTAGGGATAATTTCCTAATTTTGAGTTACAGATTAGTATATTGACACATACCTCAGACCCAGAGAAAGCTATTCCTCAAGTGGTCAAAAGATATGAAGCTTAAAAAAAAATTGTAAATTTTTACCCACCATAAAAAAAAATACTTCATTATTAATACAACCAAATTAAAACAAAATAAAAGTTTTACCTCAGGTCTACTAATCTGACAAAATGAGAAGCAATAGAAAGTATTAGGAGAATGTTCAGAAAATAGCCAACTAATGCATTGTGTAGAACTGAGAACTGGTCCCACCATTTTGGACCAAAAGTTCTGCAGTTGCAAGAGAAAAGTATCTAAATTATTTGTAACCTTTCAACTCAGTGATACAACTGGGCACATATCTCCAGGAAAGCAAAGCAAGGCTTCCCTTATCAACCAAAATATTCACAGCAATACTTTCTGGCAGCCGTATGATGAAACAAAATTGGTGGGTCAATAACTGTACAACTGAACAAACTTAGATAAACATAACTTAATATTATACTGTAAAGAACAAAGTAATTCAGGAAAAAAGGGCAAATACAAACTGATAGTGATATAAAAAAAAAAAGAACCAACAAAGTGTGTCTTTAGCCATGTCTTCAGGAAGGGAAGACTGCACTGGTCAAAGTGATATAATTTTAATTGATCAGAAAAACCGCCAAATTCAGGAACAGGTTAAGAACATACTAGTGGGCTGACGCCTAGAACAATCTTGATCATTCTCACCTTGACCAGCTTGTCCCAGCCACAGGAGACAATGATGGGGTTGCTGCTATTGGGTGAAAAACGGACACAAGACACCCATTCTGAGTGGCTCTCATCCTGTGGGATATTCAAAGGGGAAAAGTGAGGCACAATTATTCCTGTCCCTGTCCACTGCTCTAAGGCTATGGTTCTGTTGACTTAATTTCTTCCCACCCTAGGTGGTTCAAAATGATTAACTGGATGAGAAAATACTTCCTGCCATATCCATGCATGCACCAAAGTGGGGAATAACCTTACATCTACATTTATTTGTGTACAAGTACCACCACTGCTATTAAATGAAGGGCTTTCTAAAGCACGGGCTGTCAGCTGCATACCCAGGGCAATATTCTGCATTAACAAAATCTCAATAAATATTAGATTAACAACTAATCCAGACACCATACTTGTTTGGGGGCAGGAAAACAGGATGGGGACTGGGGCAAATAGGGTTAGCCATTCTAATGGACTCACAACTGAGCTTATAGTATAATAAAACCCCAGGTCTTTGACATGAATTGTGTATATTATACAGCTATGAATCCTATACTGATTTTTTTTTACCTGCACAGTGTATTTACAGACACCCAGGGTGTTCCACAGCTTGATAGTCTTATCCCGGGAACCAGAGACAATCTGGCGGTTGTCTGAAGAGAAGGCCACACTCAGCACATCCTTGGTGTGACCAACAAAGCGCCTGGTGGTAGTGCCACTACATGGGAAGACAGGATTCCTCTCAAATATATGAATTCCCCTTTTCCCAAAACAGTCTTCCACATCCCTCTTCTACACTGGGTTTTTCATAGCCTCCTATGTCTTTATAACCCACCAGGAAAAATGACCTCTTCTTTAAGCTAGCTAGAACTTCTTGGTGAAAATCTAGGTCCAATGACTAATACTGGTCCTAGCAGACAAGATAAAGAAACACCTTCCTTCCCTGGATTTGGGGGATGAAGAGAATAGGGGAAAGATATAGGTACAAAATCTTGTATATAGTATACATCTGATGTCACTTTGTTTCACCTAATTTTCTTTGCAATAAAGGCAACGTTGGGGGTCTGGAGAGAATACTGGGAAGTCTTATTGAAAAATATCTATGCCTATAGTTTCAAAGGTCCCATCAGAATTGCAGGACTTGTCTTCAGTCCCCAGGGGAGTCAGCTGACAATGTCATACTCTCATCACTGGGACATCATGAATTCTTTTCTTCTGACCTCAGAACAATTCTCCCAGCTGCCATTTGTTCATTGGCTTGATCCAGCCCACAAAAACTTCTCTAATTACCTTCAACATCCCCTAGGATTATTCTTCCTTGTTCAAACTATTATCCCACTTGGACACCTGAAGCACACACCAATTTTATGTAACTATTCAGTCCTTTCAGTTGTGTCCAATTCTTTGTTGACCCCATTTGGGGGTTTTTCCTTCTCTAACCCATTTTACAGATGAGGAACTGAGGTAAACATGGTTAAGAGACTTGTTCGGGGTCATATAGCTAGTAAGTATTTATATAATTCTAGGGCCCTTCTAAGTCCACTTCCTCCCCTCTTCTATCCTATCTTTTGCCAAGGACCTAGGTTTAATACCTACCCAAAGAGGTAGCCATTTAAATAGGTACTTACGTTGTGAGATCCCAGAGTCTTAGCGTGCCATCCCAGGAGCCTGAGAGTGCAAACTGGCCATCAGAGGAAATGACCACATCACTAACAAAATGTGAGTGACCTCGGAGGGCACGCTGGGGGATTCCATAATTTGTTTCATCTCTGGTAAGCTTCCACATGATAATGGTCTTATCTGGATAGGAGGGAACAAATAAAAAGAAAAGATGAGTAAAACTAAATTCATCTTTGTCTTCTCAATGCCATCACACATTAGTTCTCATGCTGAGAGAAACAAAAGGGTTAGGGATGTCTAGTCAGTGCTGATGGCGCCAAAGCTCTCAAAGCTAACAGTTACAAAAAATATTAGACGTGTAGAAGCATGGAAGAGATCTTTATTACCTACATGAAAAACCCATTTCTCCAAAATCTAGATAAAGAAATGTAGAATAATACTTTTACAAGAAATATAAACTAGATCTCTGTCGGAAAATTTCTTCATACTGACAGAAACTGTCACCTGTCCCAGATTAAATTCAGTTAAGGAACTGAGAGCTACCCAACACTATGCTAGGTGTTGATACTGGGGTTACCAGAGAGGACAAGACAGCTATACAGAAAACAGCTAAATAAAAGCCTAAAAGAGGACATAAACAGTAATGGAGTGCCACAAAACTTCAGAGAAGAGAAATATTCACCTGTTGGGAAGAGATTTTGATTCTAAAATAATGCTTCAATCACCCTACTGCTCAAGCTATAATCTTAACTTTCTACTCATCTAAGCTCAATCCCCCTGAATAGGTTTGATACTTTCTGCTTCATAACATCTATACCTATAAAGCACTTTAAGAGAGAACACAAACTCTCCTTGCCTTCATGGTGCTTGGTCTAAGAAACTTCGTGCTTACCCTCTCCCTTTACTGTCTTTGTTCAAACTGTTTACCCACCCCAACTTGCCCTTTCTCTAACACCCAAATGATAAAAGACTCATGAAGGAAAATGTTATTGCTATCTAGAAAAAGAGCTATGGAGTCTGAATGCAGATCAAAGCATACTATTTTCATTTTTTTTTTGTTTTCTTTCTCAAGGTTTTCCCCTTTTGTTCTAATTCTTCTTTCACAACATGATTAATGTGGAAATAAGCTTAACATGATCATACATATATAACCTATATGAAATTGCTTGCTGTCTTGGGGAGGGGATAAAAAGGCAGAGATTTGGAACTCAAAATTTTATAAAGAAATGAATGTTGAAAATAAAAAATCATGGAGCTCCAGGAAAAAAAACACCTAAATGATGTGTTAATAGATCACAACTCAATACATTACTTTGTTTTTTCCATTATTCCATGTATATCACTAACTTTGCTGCCCCAACTGGATTCTAAGCTCCCCTCACAGTACAATAGTGGAAGATATCTGAATCAATTTCTGCAACATCCATTTAAATGCTTTGGGTTGAAAAGGTTAATGGCACATTCTGAAAAATATGGCTCAGATTAGAAGCTTAGATTACTTCTCCCCAACCCACACCCCCAATCTCTTGCATCCCTCCTTAGCTATAAGCTGTCATTACAACACCAGACTATTTCTAGTCTTCTTGCACCTCCCTCCTGCCAACCAATTAAAGGTAAAACTACTTTGCCTAGGATTCAAAATCTACCATTTCATTCTCATATTCCTTACTCTATGTCCCAGAAACCTGGACTATATTATTTCCCAAACATTCCTTGTAATTTCTCCTTCTCTAGCTTTACCTACATTTTTCATCCATCCATAAAAGCCTGACTCAAAATCAACTCTTCACCAAGGCCTAGCAGTGCTTTAAAGACAAAAAGAGCTTCTCGGATATTCATTAACTGAAAGAAATTAGGGAAGCTCAGAGAGGAGACGTGGTCTTGGTCACATGCACCCCCAACAATCCTGTTACAAGGCAACAACATTCTCATTTTAGGCATGAGAAAAATGGATTTTCCTTCAGTCTTAACCCCAAAGTTAAAGCAATTTAACCAAGGTTACAGGATAACTAACACCAGACAGGTCTTCTCACTCCTAAACCAGCACTCTTTTCAATACATCACGACATTTCAAAAGTAAATGTCTCGCCAACATTTAAGATACAGAAACAGCTGCAGTGCAGCACTGGACCTGATGTCAGAAACTTAGGTTTGAAATTTTGATTCTACTTACTAGCAAGTCACTTGTGTGGCCCAACTTTCTCCCTCGTGACAGCACTTCACAAAATGTAAATCACTATATAAATGCCAGCCAGGGCAGGCAGAACTATCTAACCCCTTCCTTTTAGAACTAGCCTTTCTTGTATCCCCAAAACTCAGAAAAGTGCCTGGCACATAGGAGATGCTTAATAAAAACCAGCTGAATGAAACGCTAGTTCACCAGGAATGAAAAGACCCAGTCAAAGGACTAAGAATGAAGCTCAGAAACAGCCTCTGTATTCAGCACAGGCAATCAGATGGCATGTTAGAAAATCATCATTGCTTCTCTCTGGCGGTAGACGACCTCCTCTTCTCCCATGCCTCCCCCCCCACAAGATCTTCCTCATGCCTAAAATTACTTGCTGTTTCTCCTCTACAAATCTTTATCTTACACGGGGCTCTTGAACTGTTCCTCCTAGTAAAATTCCAAAAACACTTAACAAGTGTGCCCACTATGTTCTAGGTCCTGAATATACAAAGATGAAAACAATCCTAATTTCCTGATTCTTCAGTCAAGTTATAGGATGAATATCAGGCATACAGATAAATGATAACAGTATTAAATACACAAAAAATTAGGTAATGGCATTAGAAACTGGGAAAAAACTTCCTGTGGGTGACCTATTTTGGAGCCCCAATTAATAGGACCTCAGGTAGCATTATGAAGCACTAGGTGCTCTTAGTGATACAGCTGGAAGACACTTCAAGGATTATCTAGTACCTACAAGATAAAGGTAACAGGCTGGGAGAGGCAAAACATTCTTGGCCCAACATCACACAGTAAAGGGCAGAGGCAGAATTTGAACCCAAGTCCTTACACTCAAAGCCAACACTCTTTCCATAGCACTTCCAGCAAGCACGAAGTATCCAGCAATCACTGGGAGCCTGGAAGACCTGAGTTCAAATCGTGTCTCCCACACTTAGTAGCTGTATGACTCCAGGCAAGTCACTTAACCCTTTTGCCTCAGTTATCTCAACTATAAAATGGGAATAACAGCCTTTTAGTGAGGATCAAACAAGCTTAGGACAGTGCCCGGCACATAGCAGGCACTGTATACGTGTCTATCCCTTCCTTCCTAGCCCCAATTCAATGTGAACCTGAGGCTCAGGCTATCTGGGGTGTGTGGGGATTAATTAAGAGTAATATTCAAAAACTCAAGATCTCAAGGAACAAGGGGAATCCAATAATCAGGACTCACAGGTTCCATTCAGAGGTCCTTGTCCTTGTCAGAGGTCACTGTCCTTGGAAAGCAGTGTGTGGTGAGAGATGGGCACCAAAGGCGGGTTCAGAGATCCTAAGATGGGGCGCTGGCCATTGGATTTAAAAGGAAAAAAAAAGTAGATGCGCAGAACAGAACATTGAGCTCGGATATCCCCGAACAAGGGGCCACTTCTGCCTCCTTTCTTTCAGTACGAATGTGAATACCACTCCCTTGACGTCTCCAACACGGTCCAAGAGGACGCCACCAACTTTTTTTTTTTTTCCGGAGGCAATAGGGGTTAAGTGACTTGCCCAGGGTCAACCCAGCTAAGTAAGGTTCAGAGGTCAGGTCCATCCATTGCGCCACCTAGCTGCCCCTGCAAGAGGGCGATCACTAAGGCGTCCTGAAGGTCTGTCTTCAGTAAGACTCACCCCTCCAACCACGTGAACTCTTTTCTTTCTTCCCCAGGACAGTTACCACTCTGCTCCGCGACCCCTCTTCTCTCTGATGCACAAGGTCAGTCCGGGTCCCCACCGGAGAATGGTTTCACCCAGCCCGTGTCTCCCCCCACAGACAAAATGAGCTCTGCCCAACTTCCCCCAAGTAGCCAGGCTGGAGCCTCCTTCCCGCCCGGCCCAACCGCTCCTCCGCCTCCCTGGCCCTGCAGCCCGTCCTCCTGCAGCTCAGGAGCGCTGCCTTCCACTCCTTCAGCAAAAGCGGACGTTCCTCCTGCAACCCCCTACCCCACCATCACCTTCCACCCGGCCCTGGCAGGCGTGATCCGGGGCGCGGTACCTCGAGAGGCTGACAGGATCATGTCTGGGAACTGGGGAGTCGTGGCGATCTGGGTCACCCAGCCATTGTGGCCTTTAAGAGTACCCCGAAGGGTCATCTGTTCAGTCATGATGACGAGATCTCGGTGGATCGCTCCAGGAGGAAGGATGGATCCAGATTGCACGGAGAGAGACCAGCCGGCTCCGCTTCACGCCAGGAGCCCAAGAAAAGAGAGAGCAGCTTCCGGCCGGAGTCGGATATACCCGAAGTTCCCGGATCCCGTTCAAAATGGCGATCCCACGTAACACGTTTCCGTACGAAATGGCGGAGGTATTGTTCTCAGCCAATGGGCGAAAGAGGGTTGACGTCAGGGGGAGGGGCGGCATAGCGAACGTGCGTCATGACGTTCTCTTCCTGGGCGGCCCCGACCTGCCTGTCAGCGCTCTTGTGCTTCGTGGCTTCGGTATTTACGTTCCCTGTGTGTCTTTGCTGTTTTACGAGATCCTTCGGTTGCAAAAACCAGAATGGAAACCTACAGAGAGAGCCATGAAGCCATGTTACGTAGTGAGCGGGGAGAGAAGGACCTTGGTAACGAGAGAAGCGAAAATTGTGCGGCCAGTGGGCATGGGGGACGCGTCTTTGCTCCCCTTCGCTACGAGAAACACGGCCCACGCTTTGCAATTGAAGGTTGATTGAGGCTTAAAACAGCGCTTTCGGGATCAGGGTTTTCCGCCCCTCCGTAGCCGCTTCTCCAGCCAGTGCGACCCACCCCTTCCCCTTGGCGAGCTATATAATCCCCTCTACCAAAAATAGGAGCATTGTTAATACAAAATAGAAAAAATAAGGATTTAACGAAACTACGAATCTTTTAAAAATTGCTTCCTTTTTTAAAAAGTATTTAATAAAGTCAACACTTTACTTTCTACTATTTTTCTCCGCTTCGGAACTTCCTACTTTTAAATGGAAAATTTTTAATTTACATTCTTTTAAAAATGTTTCAATGGTCCTTTTTGGGGTACGGGTGCATCACCAGCATCATTAACCCTTTCCTTGCCCTCCCACCCCCATTAAAAATAGAAGAGGAAACAACTTGTGACAATATTGTTTTAGTCATTTTATGCAATGTTCTCCAAGTTTAGGCTTGTATCATTCTGCATCCTTTCATACTTTACAAGTTTCTCTGAAATCATCATTCGTCATTTCTTTTGGCATAATGATAAGAACTGCTCAAAGAAGGTGTGGAAAAGGATGAGATATTAATAGTTTCTGGGAATTTGGGGGGGAGTGGGGATTAAGGAAGTAAACATCTGTAGATAAAATAAACCAGGGAGCAGGATATTTAGGAAGTCCCACACAAAGTCTCAAGTCTGTACCTGTTGCTCAGGGTTGCCCTTGAGCTGGTCAAGACAGTTTCTGTGGTTTCTAGAAGCTACAGGCATGAAGTATAAAACTGAATTTCGTCTGCCTTCTTACTGAACCAAGAATCCTGCATCTCTAAGCTTCCATGACACTTTTCTTTTGATGGAGTTAAATGCTGTCTTCTTAGAGACTGATGATATCCTGCTGGTAAAACCTGTGGAATTCTTGTTTTTCATTTAGCAGCTTCTGATTTTTCCCATCATTTTCATCAAATGAGTCTTGAAGTTTGGGAGTATTCTGACCCAGTTGAGTTAATGCAGAGCTGTACACCAAATCTCTCAAAGTTGCTCACTCCTTTTCTGCTCCACTGTTGCAAACGTGTTGGCTCAGCTTTCCCTCCAAGTTAGCAAAAGTTCACCCTTGGTGAAGCACTCTAATCTGTTCATGTTAATTCTTCTGGTAATCATTTTGCCTTGGAGCTACTACTTTTGTTGAATGTGAATATTTAACTTGGAGAGGATAAATCTGTGATCAGTCCAGCACTTTATGCCACACATTGCCTTTGTCACCCTCACATCCTCTCTTCTCCTTACAATGACATAGTTTATTAAATGCCAGTGTTTGCTTCGAGGGTGCATCCCCAAAATTTTATTACATTTAGGTAAATGGAAGACAATGTTGGTGATGAAAAGGTGATGAGATGCACAAATCTTCCACAATAAGTGACCGTGGCTGTTGCCGTTTCTGATTCCATTCCTCCCAAGGACTCCCTCCCATGTCTGGTAGTCCATGCCTACTCTTGCATTAAAATCATCCAGAATTATAAGTTTGTCCTGTTTTGGCGCATTGATGATGAGGGTCTCCAGGTCTTCATAAAATTTTTCTTTGACCTCATAGGGTTCATCATGGTGGGAGCATCCATACTGATGGTGGCATGGCATGTTCCTGCAAGTGGCAATCACATTGTCATGAACCTCACTCCTTTTGGGAGGCATACAAACTTGTTGACTAGATTTAGTTTTGATTGCAAAACCTAGGCTAACTTCATGGTATTCTCCTTCACTTTGGCCACGCCAGAAAAACATGTATCCAGCTCCAACTTCGGTAAACTGGCCTTCATTTGCCAGCCTTATTTCACTCAGTGCTGCTATTTGGATATGATACTTGCTAATTTCTCTCACAAGAGCTGTTTGTCTTTCAGGTCTACTGTTTTTCATGTTGTTCATAAGCATAGGCATATTCTGTGTACTTATGGTGAGTGGAATCATCTTTGCAGAAGTTTTTGTACATTTTTTGGTGTACCACAGGATGGGATCCCTGCCTGCTGTGGTAAGCAGGCCAGGGTTGGGTGAAGCAGACAATCTTTAGGGCACCTTTTCTATCCCATTCCTCATACCAGGAGGTGAGAAATGTGGTCCTTTTAAAAGTCTTCGAAGATAGCTAGGGAACTGCCAAATCCCACTGCTGCTTCCACTGAGAAGACAACCTTATGGCCTGGGCCACCTATGTGCAGGGTTGTGATTGTAGCTCCCACTATGTCTGCACCTGCTGTTTTATCATGTGTCTGTTGCTACGGGACTTTGAGATAGGTAAAAATGGCATGGGTTATGTGTTTTGATTGATGCATAAAAATTGCATTTAAATGAGGCAGAATTGCACGAAGTAGGCGGCCTCACTCTCTCTTCTAGAGTCATCAAATTTCAGTAGCAAGACAGAGTCAAAGTGATTGGTGATGGCTCTGGATACATGGATGACTTAAATGTCTTTGATGTCTAAACAAGCTCTAAGCATTCCACAAGTGCCTACTTCAGTCCCCTTCATGGCGATTGGAACAGATTGTTCTCATCTACCCATTCTGTGGGGGGGAAAGTCTTCACATGCTTAGGGTAGATACACCCCCTAAATCACCAAAAGCTTTGAAATCCCTTGGTTACCCTCAGCCTGGTTTAGC